ATTTGGAAAACAAATGAAAATATAAAATGACAGAAAAAATACATGAACACAATACACAGATGTAGCCACTAGTAGGTAACATTTTGGCATGTTTGCTTCTGAGTATTTTCTATGCTTTTTAACATAACTGAGATCATAATACATATGCACATTTTGATTGTTTTTTGTCTATTGCTTTTTCAGAGAACACGATTTTATTTATTAATGGCACTGTTCTGTTTCATAATTTATTATTTATTCCTCATTATTTCCTTCCTCTTATATTTTTAAATTAAATTAGAAATATTTTTGTTCCTTTTCTAACTGTGTTAGTTGAATGCATAGATACTTTATGTTTATTATTTTTATTCAAAATGAAATTTCAGGGATTTATTTTTCCTACCCCCAAAATAACAGATTTTTATTAAAGTTAGAAAGTACAGTGGGACAAACCCATGATGATCCCACTCATCAAGAAACTTCTATTAATGGATTTCAGATTGTTTTTGTGTTTATGTACACTTTCCTCCAAAGAAGTTCCATAACTTCTGATTTCGCCTGACTACATCTTATGAACATTTTCTATAACAATATATGCATTGTTCCAACATCATTTTTAACAGCTACATAGTATCTTATTGTGTAGATGCCCTATAGATATTTAATCAAATTCATGTTCTAAGATGGCCAAATTGTTTCTAGGAGTCCCTGGATGGTGCAAAAAGTTAAGCACTCGACTACTAAGTGAAAGGATGGCAGTTCAAATCCACCCACAGACACCTTGTAAGAAAGGCCAGGTGATCTGCTTTCAAAAGGCCACAGACATGAAAACCCTCTGAAGCACAGTTGCACCCTGACGCACATGGGGTTGCCATGAGTCAGAGTCAACTCAATGGCAACTGCTTTGGTTTTGGTTTCTGAGTTGTTTCTATTGTAACCCTTCTTTCCTAGAGAAATGCTGTTTTGTAATGAATATAATTTAGTTATACTTTTGGACATAGCTTATGTGTGGAAAAGAGGAGGTATTAAATTTCTAGAAGTAGAATTCATGGAATAAAAGAACCTATTTACTATTTAATTTTATTGTGTTTTAAGTGAAAGTTTACAGCTCAAGTTAGTTTCTCATTAAAAAATGTATACACATATTGTTTTGTAACATTGGTTGCAATCCCTGCAACGTAACAGCACCCTCTCTCTTTTCATCCCGGCTTCCCCATGTCCATTCATCCATTTTTCCCATCCCTTCCTGCCTTCTCATCTTGCTTTGGGGCAGGCGTTGCCCGTTTGAGGACCTATTTATTTTTTAGGCTTTTATTACATTTGTGTATTGTCAATTTTCATCTTAGAATAATTCCCGCTTCCAACCATATTGTCTTGTCTTTTCACCTCTTCATCAACATGGAGCATATGAGTTTAATAGACCTTTTTTATTTGCTAGGGAAATATGACATTTTTCTTCAGTGACTAATGATATTGAACTTCTCTGTAAATTATTTGGCATTTATATTCATGTTTTTAGCCCACTTTTATTCCACTGCCCTCCATATAGGAAGAACATTACTAATTTATCTCATACATTTCAAGTATTGTTTTCGGCCTATCGTTTCCCCCTTTTATTTTATTATTAATGTAAATAAATTTTACATGTTTATGTAGACTAGTCAATCAATTTTTCTCTTTATGTTTTGGGCCATGGGACCACTCCAAAAATTTCCCATCCCATCTTATGGTTATATAAGTTCAATGACTATTTCTTTTAGGACTTTCATAATTTATTTTTTTCTTTAATGTTTATTATTTTATTTCTTTAAATCGCCTTGACTTCCTCTCCATATGAAAGATCTATGGCTACATTATTTAGTCCCGTTTTTTTGTTTTAATGTTGACATCTTTTACATATTGACTTCTCTGTTTCCCTATTTTCAGTGTTTTATCTTTGATTTATTTGTGACTTCCCTATCTGGGTTGATATCTGGTTGTTCCGTCCTGTGTTTTGGTCTTAGGTTCTTATCTGATGTTATTGATTTTTCTAACGGAGGACTCCCTTTAGTATTTATTTTAATTTTGGTTTGGTTTTTACTAATTCCCTAAACTTCTGTTTATCTGGAAATGCCCTAATTTCTTCATCATATTTGAGAGACAGTTTTGCTGGATATATAATTCTTGCCTGGCAGTGTTTTTCCTTCAAGGCTTTATATATGTCATCCCATTGCCTTCTTGCCTGCATGGTTTCTGCTGAGTAGTCTGAGCTTATTGTTATTGACTCTCCTTTGTAGATGACTTTTCCTTTATCCCTAGCCACTCTTAATATTCTCTCTTTATCTTTGGTTTTGGCAAGTTTGATTATAATATGTCTTGGTGACTTTCTTTTGGGATCTACCTTGTGTGGGGTTCGATAAGCTTCTTGGATAGATATCTTCTCATCTTTCATGATATCAGGGAAGTTTTCTGCCAACAAACTTCAACAATTTTCTCTGTATTTTCTGTTATCCCCCCCATTCTGGTACTCCCATCACTCATAGGTTATTCCTCTTGATAGAGTCTCACATAATTCTTAGTGTTTCTTCATTTTTTAAAATTCTTTTACCTGATTTTCCTCAAATAAATTGGTATCAAGTGCTTTGTCTTCAATCTCACTAATTCTGACTTCCATTGCCTCAATTCTGCTCCTGTGACTTTCTGTTGAGTAGTCTAATTCTGAAATTTCATTGTTAACCTTTTGGATTTCTGTTTACCATCTATGGATTCTTGCAGCCTGTTAAATTTGTCATTATGCTCTTGTATAACCTTCTTAAGTTCTTCTATTGCTTTGTCTCTGTGTTCCTTGGCTTGTTCTGCATTTTGAATGATCTCCTTCCTGATATGTTGAAGAGTTCTGTATATTAATCTTTTGTATTCTACCTCTGGTAATTCCAAGAAGTTCTCTTCCTCCAGAAGATTTCTTGATTATTTGTTTTGGATGCTTGCTGAAGCCATTATGGTCTGTCTCTTTATGCGGTTTGATAATGACTGTTGTCTCCAAGCCATCAATAAGTTATTATATTTATTTATTTTATGTTTTCTTACAGTGTCCTAGCTTCTTGTTTTGTTCTGTTTCAATATGCCTAAATTGGCTGGTCATGTGAGCTAGTTTGATTATTGGCGTCTTTGAAGCTCTCACATCCTGTTACCAGGTAGTTAGAGCTGTTACTAGGTATGTGAGCCCAGGAGTCCATTTACTTTTCTTGTATGGATTAAGCTCATATGTCCAGGTAGTCGATCATCAAGTGTGTGGTGCAGGCTCTCACCTACAGTCCTAGATGGGCACGGGTGATTAGAGTAAGCACAGGTATCTGGATTCAGTAGGGGGTCATGCACTAAGCAAGGCAAAGGCTGACAGCTGCCCCTGAGTGTCTGGGAGGAAAGCATATCCCTGTTCCCTAGGGTGCATAGGTGGGTGGGTTTTGCAGCTGGACTCTGGGCACCCAATGCTGTTGGCTGTAAGGACTGGGAGGTACCACTTATTCTTGGACCAATGTTGTGGGTGGCTAGGTGGTGTGGGTGGAGCCACCAGTCCTCAGGGCCCTTGAGGTGGGTAGGTGAGGACCCTGCTTAATGGGCAGAGCAGCATCAAATGTCATGAATCTGCCACTCCACCTTATAGCTGATACAGTTGAAAATAGGCTTCAGGTACATACCCTGTTGTACTGTGCTAATGAGGGCCTATGCTGTTGAAATGGGCCCACACAGGTCTATGCAGGGATGAAAGGCATTCAAAGTTTGTGGACCTCTTATGCCTGTGCCTAGGCAAAGGAGCTGCTCCTGCCCTGAGTTCCTGGCTTCAGGGAGCTGGAAGATTATTTTTTCCTTTTTGTTAATTTGTTCCCTCTCCAAAGCCGGGAGACTGGCTCAGTGTGCGCAGTGGGTCCTGCTGCAAGCCCAGGGGTCATGGCAATTACTGAAGCTGGCCCAGGACCCAGTGCAGAGAGGGTAGGGGGCAAGTAAATGGGAGAGACATTCTTCCCAAAGGGGGTGTCTTTTGATCCGCACAGTAAGTTAGATGCATGTACTTATTTTTGCCGTTTGAGTGCCACTTTTCACTTGTTCTGGAGGTTTGAGTAGACTGTCTGCCGCTCAGTCTCTCCCTATGTGGAAAATGCATCCCAGGTGCCAATGCTTGCCTCAGCCCATGCACGCCAGCCGATCTAGCCTGCAGGGTGCCGGTTCCTGCCAGATCAGGTATGTCAACTCCTCGCTGCTTCTGAAACATCTCTCCCTCCCCCTGCCACTCAGTCTGATTCCTCAATTTTGCCTTTGATGTTCAGAGCTCCTAGATTGTCATATATAATTGATTCACTTGTTTTTCTGGGTCTTTGTTGTAAGAGAGATCACAGGAAGCATTTGACTTCTCTGCCATCTTGGCCCCGCCTCCAATGTTTAATATTTTAATCACAGCTGAAATTATTTTCGTTTAAGACATGAAGCCATATTGAACTTTATAATTCTATACGATAGTTATTGTTTTGGTTTCCTTGGGCTCCCATAACAAAATACCACCAGGTAGGTGGCTTTAAAATACAAACATTTATTTTCTCACAGTTCTGGAAGCTAGAAGTCCGAATTCAGGGTGTTGATCATGTTGATTCCTTCTGGGGACTTTGAGAGAGAAACTGTTCCATGTCTCTCCCCTAGCTCCTGGTGTTTGCCAGCAACCGTTGGCATTCCTTGGCTTGTGGATGGATCCTCACATGCTGTTGTCCCCCTGTGTGTGACTCTGTTTCCATGTCTTTCCCCCTCTTTATAAGACCTCATTCAAAAGGGATTGAGATTAGGACTCATCCTACTCTGAGATAACCATGTTTAACTTAACTGATAGCATCTTCAAAGACCTTATTTCCAAAAATGTCATGTGCAATTGTGCAGTGATTAGAGGTTCAACATGTCTTTTGGGGGGATACAATCCACAACAGTTACTTAAAAGCCACTTTGTAAATATCCCATGCTTTTCCCCATTGATTTGAAATGCCATCTTTACTGTGTACTTAATATATTTTTAAACACACACACAGTTTTATGAAACTCTTGAGATGAAAGAGCAAACTGAAGTCAGAGGTCTAAGGAATAGCTGTGAAAGTTTTCAAATACCATCTTTTCTGAGATTTAGGCTGTGTCATTTTCTAACAAGTCGCCATGCCCTCTGGGAAGGTGAGGGTGGGGACTTCCAGGACTGCTCTCTTGGTGTCACACCTGAGGCAGCTCTTCCTGGTCCTCATAGCATAGTCAGTGATCCCTAACAATATTCTAGCCTCAGCCTCTTCTTCTCCTAATCATTAGGGATCCTCTTCCTTTCTTATTCTCCTTAGGTTCAGCTTTCAAGGCCGTAGAGGGTGAGATCCAGTTTTCCTTCCCTCACAACTTAACCATCCCAGTACACAAACCCGCTTTCTCAGATTGGGCTCCCCTAATAGCAAACCCTGAGACAAGGATTTGAGCACAAGGAACTTATTTTGGAGGTGATTCTGGAAGCTCTGGCAGGGGAGCCCAGAATGTGGTTTGGGAAAGAAGCAAATAGAACGAAGCATTAATGACTGCTCTGGGCAGCCAGCCCATTCCCACTGGGGACCTCTGGCTGGGTATAGAACTTGTCTCAAAGTTGTCCCACTTGAAAGGTGAGAGAGCTGGGGTATTTATCCTCCAACTATTGTCAGTCCCTGGCTGAGGGCTGTTCCCAGTAGGCCCTTAACTCCCTGACATTTCTGGCTGGCTCCTTCCATCAGAGAAAGGCTTGAGACAGAGTTCCGTGTTCCTACAGTTTGAAGCCATGGGGAGTATATGGGAAGGCCGTCAACTGTGACTGCTGAAGTCCACCCCTTGAAAACATCCAGGCTGACTGTTGTCCAGGTTCTACTGAAAACATGTTCACGGTGGAGAATTTAGGATAGCCTTTGCCTTTTTTGTAAGAAAGTCCTTCCCTATATTGAGCCTGGTGGTGTAAACAGTTGGTGTGCTCAGCTGTTGACTGAAATGTTGGAGATTTGAGTCGACTCAGAGTTTCCTCAGAAGAAAGGCCTGGATATCTACTTCCAAAAAAACAGCCATTGAAAACCCTGTGGAGACAGTTCTGCTCTGACACTCATGGGGTCGCCATGAGTTGGAGATGACTCAAGGGCAACTGGTTAACTGTTATATTGAGCCAAAATATGTCACCGTGAAACTTCCATATATTTTTTAAATTCTTCCTCCTGGAAAAAAAAGTATCAAAAATATGTTTCAGAGGAGTTTGAGCAGTTACCCAGAAACACCAGAAGTTACCCTCTTGCACAAAGTGTGTATAGCACTAAGTTGCATAACCCTGAATTTCTGCCTCATCCTCTATGTTTATCTATTGTTGTCATTTCTTAGAACAGCCAGTATGATGCAACTGTGGGTGTAGGCTAATGAGGAAGCCAGCTTAGCTGTTCATTTCAGTAGTGTGGGATAGAATAAGGTCAGCCTAGCCAATAAGCACCTTGATTATGTCAGCTGCTCCAGGGAGTTGGGGGAAAATGTACCACTGTATGACTAATTCATGAGTCATATGAATGTTTATTCTCATTTTAAGATTTTTTAAACTGAACTTCCCTCCCAGGAGCAAACAATTGCCATTTTTGTTCTAAAAGACTGTAGACTGGCCAATTCTATCATCATTTTAATCTCTTTCCACATATTAATGGAATACATGCATTTAATTTGGCTTAGAAGAAGATGGATTCCCAAGACAGCATCTGATTTAAGTCCATTGCCTTTACTTGCTCCACAAGCAAATCCCAGATGAACTAATCAGAGGCCAGCACTCAGAGCCACCCCAGAACAAGTCCATGGCCAACAGTGTGGAGGAAGGAATTTGTGCTTTGCATTCACTGGCTTTTCTTCAAGTATTCGGGTGGGGTCTTTGCATTGCGTATTTTAATGACAGGGAGGGTGATAAATGAGATCATAAACTTAGCTCTGTTGTCATCGCTCTACAAACGCTAAGTAGGATTAATTACCAAGAATCTGGGCAAGGAGCACCCCTCGAGGTCAGAAGTTGAGTGCGATGGCCTTCAACCTCACGTGATGTCCGATGGTGCCAGAGGAATCTTGTTTCTACCGTGTAGTTCTCTCACATTCACAGGTCAGCAGGGAGACTGAAGTCTGTGGAATTAAGAATTAATTACAAATTTGTTCAGTCTGACTTTCTGGCCTAGAAGTTAGAGGCTGAAAACCTGTTGCCGTTAAGTAGAGTCGATTCCAACTCAAAGTGACCCTATAAGACAGAGTAGAACTGCCCCGTAGGGTATCCAAGGCTGTAATCTTTATGACCACCACCTGTCTGTCAGTTTGTCGTACTGTGGTGGCTCACATGTTGCTGTGATACACAGATGACACAACCTTGCTGCCACAAGTGAAGAGGACTTGAAGCACTTACTGCTGAAGTTCAAAGACTACAGCCTTCAGTACGGATTACACCTCAACACAAAGAAAACAAAAGTCCTGACAAACGTAGAAAAGATTGAACTTGTCAAGGATTTCATTTTACTTAGATCTACAATCAATGCCCATGGAAACAGCAGTCAAGAAATCAAACAATGTATTGCATTGGGCAAATCTGCTGCAAAAGACCTTTTTAAAGTGTTAAAAAGCCAAGATGTCACTTTAAGGACTAAGGTTCTCCTGACCCAAGCCATGGTGTTTTCAATCACCTCATATGCATGTGAAAGCTGGACAGTGAATAAGGAAGCCAGAAGAAGAACTGATGCCTTTGAATTATGATGCTGGCTAAGAATACTGACTATACCATGGACTGCCAGAAGAACAAACAAATCTGTCTTGGAAGAAGTACAGCCAGAATGCTCCTTAGAAGCAAGGATGGCGAGACTACGT